CACTTAGCAACAGTAGACTCATGACCAAATAAATTCTTCCTGTCACCTGTTCTGAGTCTTGATTTTTTCCTTAATTTATTTCAACAGCATGACCTTTCTCCACTCTGTTCTACCAGAGAATGGTATTAAAAGCATAACTATAGCTTAATCATTTTTTTAAACTTTGCTTTCCTTGTCTCTGTCCTTGAAAATCTAGGACAACAGGTCTGCTGAAAGCATGGCTGATTTCCTTTATTAGAACATTTCAGTTCCAGAAATAGGCTGCCCTGTTACTTCTTTCCTGAGTCTTCTACTTATATATTGTGTGCATATCTATATATACACAACCATTACACTTGGAAATACTGTATCTACCGCTATCTTCCTTTTACAAGCAAGAATTCTGAAGCTCAGAGAGTATGGCAACAGCCAAAAGACAGTGAAGTTTATTAGCTCCTAAGAGGAACTCAATGTATTTACAAGTGAATGAATGCAAGGCACCCGTCTAAAAAATCAAAATTCTGGCTTTCATGGAACATGGTACCCTTTCTACTAGACCACACAACTGCTGTTAAACAGTTGTGGGAATAGGCAAGTCTAGCGGGACTGTTCCTAGCTCAGCCCTGGTATCATGATGGGTATGTGTTGGGCTGCTAGCCACAAGTTCAGCAGTTCAAATCCACCAGCTACTCCTGGGAGATAAATGAGGATTTTTTGCTCCCATAAGGGCACACCACCACCAACCAAGTTGGTGTTAGTACCGGTCTCAAAAACAGGGGTCTTTAGCAATCGTTACAATGAATCCTTCAATGTTCTTATTAAGTCCCAGAATGGCTGAAAGGAGGAAAAACCACTCAGTACTACTTCCAAATGAGTAATACACCTCATAGTGTCAGCAGAAAATAAGAAAGTCTGTCCTCCTTCAAGGCCCCAAATAAAGATAAGAATGGATACCCCAAAACACTCGTCTTAAAAATTTCCAAAATACTGATTTTAGGATTTTTACAAGGAATGCCACAACCTCCAGTACACATGTCTACAGAAATGGTTTCTCCCGAAGCCCCTGGTAGAGTCTAAATTAAATTTTCAGTCCGTCTTTAAACTAAATAAACCTTCTCTAGTTTGTCAGCCAAGAATACCCTCAAATGTATGCTCACTAAAAGAAAAATAGCATTACTTGTGTATACATGACACATCTCTACTATTTAAAAAAGTAACCACCATAGGCAGGCCACTTCTAACTAGCTTAACAATAGAAACTGCTGACCTCAGTAGCACATATTATAACCAAGAACAAAGCAATGCTTGAATGAAATCTGAGAACTAAACCAGCTTGCCAGAGTCCAATAGCACAATAAGAATGAGTCTATAGTATACAATTTCAGGTCTTAATTATCAAAGAAATTCTAAAACCTTTAGCTTTAATAGTAGCAATTTAACAATCACTTTGATATGCCTTTAATCCAAGAATTCCAGATACACAAGCTGTATTCTTGCTAAAATAATTTAAGAGTCTAGAATAGTAGTCTACGCCCTGCCTGATTTTTACTCAAAGTTCAAGTCAGTTTCATACCCACCTGTAATAGTTCACATCCCATGAAAGCCCTTAATTTCCGTGCTACTTGAGTCAGTTGTAACTTGTCTTGGCTGCCAGAGTTCAAGTCAGTAAAAAAAAGAGGCAGATCTTCAATGAGATGAATTGATACAGTGGTTGTGACAACATGCTCAAACTTAGCAATAATTGTGAAGGTGTGCAGGACCAGGCATTGTTTTGTTCTGTTGCACACAGTGTCACTATGAGTCAAAACCTACTTGACAGCATCTAATAGTCATCTTAGGTGAAGGCTGTGAAATGTTGCAGAGATACTGTCTGATAACAAACATAAAATAACTAACCTTTTCATAGTTCTTTGAGTAATGCATAATAAAAAAGTTATCACTTAAAATGAGTCTCTTTTTTTGCACAACACATTTCCAAGTTTTATCACTGCTACAATGCTCTAGGAGAAAAAGGACCCAATAATGCTATTCATCAAATGGAGGGTCAGTGCCACCCTGCCCACTTATCCTTAACCCAGACAAATACCACATACCTCTGGAGACCTGGCCCTAAGATCTTGGCTTAAAATAGTAGTATTTGCTGCAGTTCAATAACCCCAAACACCAAGCCGCTCATCGAAGAAGATCCTATATCTTGACTCACTGGACCTATCAAGATGAACATATCTTTCCCAATTTCAGGCCTAATTCCAAGACTTCACTCTTGGGAGTTGTGCTTGGCATTGGGCCCCTTTTCTTCTATTAAGTTTCTAAAACTGACAGGGATAGGAAAAGAAAAACTTGCCCAGGAAGGAAAATTGGATCAAACATTTAACAACATTTCATATTAAGTCTGGTAACAATTACTGCATACATTTGGGGTGGGGTGGGGAAGGATCAGTGAAAAAAATGAAGATTCATGATATGGATTGACACAATGGCAGCATCAATATGCTCAAACGTAACAAATGTGAGGATGGGGCAGGACCAGGCAGTGTTTTGTTCTGTTGTACACAGGGAGTCACTATGAGTTGGAACCAACAAGACAGCACCTAACAACAATGCTGTGCATTTAAAACCTTTGGAATTACAACAGTAAAATTATGACCTATTTACAGTAGTAGGTCACAGATTACAAAGCAACTTTTAAGACCATCTAGAAGTGGCTTTCAAACTCATTTGACCTAAAGTAAGAAATTTTTACATCAAAACCCACTATTCATACATTTATACAAACTAGTTTCAGAAAAGACTACCCTTATAACTTGCTATGCAATCTCTATATTTTCTATCCTTTTTCACTAAAAATAAAAATGTTGGCTGTGAACCATAAAATTTCTATGACCCAAAGTCTAGATAAAATACCATTATCTAGTTAGTATTACAGCTTTACTTTCCAAAAAAGTAGCACACTGTACAGTAGCTTAGTGACAACTTTAAAGTAGGACTGCTGTATGTTGTTGTTAAGGGGTAAAGAGTCGGCTTTGACTCATAGCAACCCTGTATATGGTTTCTGAGGAGTGGCTGGTGAGTTTTTGTACTGGTGACCTTTGCAGTCCAGTGCATTAACCAACAGTGCCAGGTTCAAATGCTGTGTTCCACTACTTAGCTATGAAACCTAAGTCCTAGGACAAGTTTACTAACATCTGCACCTCAGTTTCCCTACTCATACAGCAGGGGAAACCTACTTCAAAAGTTGTTAAACAACAAAAAATAGCATTGCACCATTTATGAAAATATTGCCGGGAGAAGGAACTGTTAGCAAACAAATGTGTAGAAGGTGTGTTATTGGCATACAAATATGGTTAGTGGGAGGCTTTTCCATTATACTGAAGTATATTATACAACTGAGCACAGGAATCACACTAATTATACAAGAGTTGGTTTACAGTATATAGCAAATATTTCAGGAGATAAAAGATAATCCTATATGGCTTAAATCTTCAGATTATCTTTTATCTTTATTATGTATTATCTTCTCAAGTGGATACTTAAGACAGGTTAATAAAATTGTCCATGTGGCAATATAAAACCAAAATTATTTAGAACTCATCAACAGTACAACTGAATGTTTAAAAAGAGACATATTTGAAAACGAAACAAATATGGTACTCTTGGACTCTTACATTTTGTTTGAATACCCAGTAAAGTATAATTTAATACCAGCCCAGGCACAATCACATAATTAGCTTTTCTAGTTTTAAAATGTCCACTTTATTCCATTTAACACTTATTCAGGTGTCATTTACAGCTGAGAAAGAGATGGCCCACAAAACTGATCTATGGTAAAACACTAAGAAATGTCCCAATTTTATACATTCCCAGGACCCCTACACAAGTGTATCACAATGCACTAAGGTGGGTATCACTACTACATTTTACAGATGATAAATGGGAACTATCAATGAACTTCAGAAAGTAGTAAATTCGCCTGTCCCTTAAAATATGCGTATACAATTGTTACAACGCCTTGGTAAATGGTTTATAAAATGTAATTTTATTTTAGGTTACTCTGCTGTTACATAGGGTATAACATTTTCACAAGGCTTTTTTGGGACTACAGTCGATGATTAAGCAACACACAATAGTGGTCCAACTCTCTAACAATCACTAGACAAACTGGACACCCTCTCACAAGTGCACAAATCTGCATTGAAAAGTACTAAAATTTTATACTTGGACTTGTAGACTTTGTTTCCCCTTTCTAGTGTATTAAGAAATGACATGCACTTTAATTGCCCAAAGCAATGCTTGTATTCTGGCAGCAACATGCTACTTTATTACAATAGTAAAGTGAATACCAGAACTACAGAGGCAGGAGTGTAAGTAAATTTTTATTGGGAAGGGAAGTTGTCAACTTAAACAGCAGCAAATGAAGAGTGAACAAGAAAACTCCCTTTGTCACAGATACCCATGACCTCCACAATATATTACATAGGAGGCATTTCAACATGTGACCCCAAGCCAAAACTGTTAAATGCTTTTCCATTCAATCAATACTTCTGGATTCCCACTAAAAAGGAATATATAGTAAGAGCATGGAAAAGTTGCTTACTGAAAGGACACCCCCAAAGAAAAGTATGGGAAGGAATGTAGAAATTAAGCAGAACACTCTTTAATTGTAATTAACTACGTTTTCATATCTTCACAGTAATACAAAACACAGTCACTTGAAGAACTGGTTCAGATTACTTAAATACCAGATACAGTTTAGTCCTCTACATAAGTGTTTGGAACTTACTTATGTTTATATGAAATGAAGCTATTAATACTTTTCTACAGCAGTAACTGCACACCAGAAGGCCAAGACAAACACAAATCAAGGAATGGAGTTTTCCCAAAGCTGCAGTGTGAAAAGACTATCAACAGTTGGTTCCATACACATGAATGGGTTTCTTTGCTATAGGAAATCCAAATAGAATAAGGAATGGAGATGTGTAAAAAGGTTTCTCGAAGGGGAGAAGGATGACACTTGTAAGCATTTAGTTTTCTGCTCCTTCTGCTGCGTCACATTCTTCTCCTGCACTGTCTGATGTCCATAACTAGGAAAAAAAATTGAATTATTATTTCTAGTTAGACAATTTCTATCATATCAAAGTATAATTAATTTTGAGATGAATAAATTATTCAAACATATAGAAGAGAGATTATGGGTAAAAGTTAGATCACTCAGGACCCGAAGAACCATGAACTCTTCAAAGTGTAGCCTTGTAAACCTTCTACTATGCATTTACAAAACAACACACACGTTCCCTAATTAAGTACCTTTTACAACTTGTTCTTTTTATTTCAAAAGCACTATAATTTCACAATAAAGTGACATTTTGAAAATTTAATAATGCCATCTTTATTCCCAACAGTCCAATGCTCTTAAAAATACCACTTAATACATGAGACGAATAAGGCAAACAAGATTATAAGTGGGGAAAAACCCCCATTCCCTGTTGAAGGACTTTCACACAGAGAAGCAGCAGCATTAGAAGAATTAAATAGGAGTGGGTGACAGAACTTACAGAAAAGCAGTGTGTGTATGTATAAATATATAAAATGGGGTCTTGAATTTAAGTAGAATGTTAAGTCTAATAAAATTCATTTAGAAAGATTTAATTTCAAGACAGGTGGATGAAACACGTACATGCACAGCCAATATTTATTGAATATTATTATCAGTTCATAAAATGCATTTTTATTAGAACACCACCAAACTACTAGTGTGAACTTAAGAAAGCTAGAATCTAGCATAATCTTTTAAGTTACAATTGCTAATTTACTTTCAATAAACAAAACAGAAAAAAATAACTACTTCCAAAAGAAGGAAAATGAAACAAAACTGTTAAATGCTTCATGTAATGAAAGATAGCTCCAAGACATATATGGAAAAAAGATATGTGACTGCTTGGTTTGATTGTCTTTTACAAAAGTAATTTTCTGGGAACTGTTCTATTCTTACCTCACAACTATAGAAATTTCTTATGGCTACGCTCAGCAACTATTTGCGGAGTGTTTAAAACAGACACGATAACTAAAAAACAAATAAAATTAGAATCATATCTAGCCTCTGGGACCATTAAGGGAGAAAAGCAGAGTGTGGGACCCTACCCAGAGAAAGAATGACGCCAGAGATGGAGGCAGAGACAATGAAGTGGAGAGATAGAGAGGCTGGAAACTCTAGACCCAGAGAGGGAGAGGGTTGTAACCATGGCAATGTAACAATATACAAAAGGATGAATGTAAAGCTAATGTTCTCCCATGTAAACTATCACATAATTCACAAGGAACCTTTAAAAAAAAAAATCATATCTAGCAAAATACAACAGATTAGGAGAACTCTTTTTAATCCCTTCTGGCCCCTATCTACAAACCAGTAACTTATCTGAAAAACACCAAACCATTTCCCTTCTTTTACCAACTCGACAGCACACAACACACTTTTTATTATGAACTGAGTGTAAAGATTTACACTGTAAAAGATCTTCAGTTTTGCATTCAACAAATCATTTCAATGATTGTAATCTCCTCCATGTAACACCAGTTATTAAACTTCCTCCCTGTAATTCTTGTTTCCATTAAACCTTCTTTTTTGGCCCTTGTGACTTTTGTCATTAGGTAAATGCTGAATGTTAGATTATTTTATGGTGAACACACTTAACTAGTGTTGTTATCTCCCCACCCCATATACCTATGTACTGCTTGGTTGGAAATTGAGCCATGATAGGGAGTTCAGTTCCAGACCTAAGGGTGACCAAGGCCTATAGTCTTGGTTCCTTCAGTCTCTTTCTGATCAGTAAACCTGGTATTCTTGTATAATTTTGAGTTCTGTTCTACATTATTTCCCCACTCGATCCAGGATACCTAAACTAAACAATTGATACTGATAGCTGGGCACCATCTAGCTGTTCTGGTCTTAGGGTCAGGGAGACTGATGTTCCCATGTCCCATTAGTCCATTGAACAACTGATCCCAAGAGTCTCCAGTTTTCATTACTCTTCTTTCTTCCACCTAGGGAGAAGACCAATAATTGTACCCTAGATGGCCACTCACGTGCTTTTAAGATCCCAGTTGCTACTCACAAAAGTAGGATGCAGAACACTGTCTTAGTGGACTATGTCATGCCAATTTTAACTCTGAAATTTTAAACAGCAAATTTACTTGACCTTATGGAAACAACAACAACAACAAAACCTAAGTAAAGCCTGAGAGATTTATTTTTCTACATTACTTCCTTTATCATATGTATATCCAAGAAATAAGAAGACTTGAAAAAATGCCTACAGAACTGTCCTATATAAAATTCTAACAAGTACTTAACACTTTCATTTATTTCAAGTGACAGTACAGCTTGGTTCCACCACTTGTCTGCCACAGTTTATTGCACTGTGATAATCATTCAGACCACTTCTGAAAGACTAGCCACTGAAAACCTTATAAACAGCAGCGGAACAGTCTGAATATGAGCCCCTCAGGCTGGAAGGCACTCAAAATATGACTGGGGAAGAGCTGTATCCTCAAAGATATGACCTTAATTGTGAGAATCGAGTAAACCTTCATTTGTTGATGGGATACAACTCAAAATGAGAACTGCTGCAAATATCCATTAGTAATCAGAACATGGAATGTACAAGATATGAATCTAGAAAATTGGAAAGTCATCAAAAATGAAATAGAACACATAAAGATCCATATTCTAGGCATCAATGAACTGAAATGGACTGGTACTGGCCTACAAACTCAGCAACTTATCTGGAAAACAACATACCATTTCCCTTCTGTTAAGTCTGAAAGGAGGAAAAAAAAAAATTATTATTATTATTTTTTATTATTATTAAGGAGCACTGGTGGTGCTGCAAACTGGCTGGGCTGCAAACTGCAAGATTAGCATTTCCAAGTCACTAGTGCTCCACGGAGAAAGATGAGGTTTTCTGCTCCCATAAAGATTTAATATGTAAAGATTAAACTCTATACAGGGTCACTATGAGGAAAGGTATCACATTCATCATCAAAAAGAGCATTTCAAGATCTATCAGGAACAACAATGTTGTCTGCTAATAGTATAATATCCATACACCTTAAGGAAGACCAGTTAATATGACTATTATTCAAATTTATGTTATCAACCACTAAAGCCAGTGATGGTGAAATTGAAGAATTATACCAACTTTTCAGACTGAAATTGATCAAACATGAAATCAAAATGCATTGATAATTACTGGTGACTGGAATGGTAATGTTCAAAACAAAGAAGGGTATGGCCTTAGAAATTGATGCTGGAAGATCAAAGGATAGAATTTTGCAAGACTAATAACTTATTCATTGTAAATACTTGTTTTCAACATAAAAGGAAACTCATTATCATCAGCCAAAACATGGCCAGGACTAACTATGGAACAGATTAGCCAATGCTAACATGCAATCTCAGGCTTAAATTGAAGAAAAATAAAACAAGTCCATGAAACCCAAATTATGACCTTGAGTATATCTCAACTGAACTTAGAGACCATCTCAAAAACAAATTTAATGCATTAGATTTAGACACTAATGACCAAAGACCAGAAGAGTTGTGGGATGACATGAAGAACATCATCCATGAAGCAAACAAAAGGTCATTAAAGATAGGGAAGGGAAAAATAAGACCAAACTGGATATCAAAAGAGACTCTGAAACTTGCTCTTAAACACATAGACGCTAAAGCAACTTGAAGAAATGAGGAAGTAATTGAGCTGAACAGAACATTTCAATGGGCAGCTCAAGAAGTAAAATACTACCCTCACTTACCTATGCCAAGAAATCTAGAAGACAAGCTATCTGGCCAAATGATTGAAAGAGTTACACATTTGTGTCCATTCCAAAGAAAGGTGACTCAACAGCATGTGGAAACCATTATAATATCATTAATATCACATTTATGTTAAATTTTACAAAAGGGAACTGAAAAATGGCTGCAATGAATGGTACATTGACAGGGAGCTGCCAGAAATCCAAGCTGGATTCAGAAGAGGATGTGGAACGCAGGATACTATTGCTCATGTCAGATGGATGAACGATGGATACTAGAAAGATGTTTACTTGTGTATTACTGACTAAGCAAAGGGTTTCAACTGTGTGGATTATAACAAACTATCAACAATACTGGGAAGAATGAATATTCCACAATACTCAATTGTGCTCATAAGGAACCTATATATAGACCAAGAGGCAGGTGTTCAAACAGGCAGGTGTTCAATCAGGAAAGGTGTGTGCCAGGGCTGTATTCTTTCACCATATTTATTCAATCTTTATGCTAAGCAATTAATCTGAGAAAATGGATTAAGAATGTGGCATCAAGACTGAAGGAAAGAAAACTAATGGGCACAGGACAAGAACAGACACTTCACCAAAGAAGACATTATGGCAGCCAACAAGCATATGAAGAAATGTTCATTATCATTAGTAATTAGAGATGCAACTCAAAACAACAACGAGGTATCATCTCACACAAGCAATAAAAGCAAAGTTAAAAAATGCAGAGGATAATAAATGCTGGTGAGGATGTGAAGAAACTGGGACCCTCCTACACTGCTGGTGGGAATAAAAAACAGTCCAACCACTCTGGAAAATAGTATGGTGCTTCCTCAGAAAGTTGGAAATAGAAATACCATATGATACAGCAATTCCTCTTCTTGGTATATAGCCACAAAAAATACAAGCCATAACACAAGTAGATATATGCACACTAATGCTTATAGTAGCACTATTCACAATAGCAAAAAGATGAAGGCAGCCTAAGTGCCCATCAATGGAAGAATGGATAAACAAACTTTGTTATACATGTACAATGGAATATTATGCTACCTTGAAGAATTAAAAAGAAGCTGCAAGCCACCACAATAACATACATGAACCTTGAGGACATTATG